AAGTCCAAAATACCATCACTCCTAGTGGAACATTTCCTAGTGGATTTAATCAACTTTTCTCTTATACAATCCACACAAGTGTCAAAATCAGAGAAGTCGAGAGAGTAAAGTATCTCAACTTTAACCAATCTTTCCATTCTATCCTTTCAAATGTGACACAACCACTTATACCAAAACATGGAAGATGATTCACGAATTCGAGATCATTTCTTTGACACATTCGCAACTCAAAAGACTTCACCAAAAAAAGCCAAAGACAATTTATATAAACCATTATATAAGAGGCAATTTCCAATCAAACGAGAATTATAAAATAATTCAACCATTTCATTACCAAGATTAAAGGAAAACCCAGAAGCATTAAGTTTCAATATAGAAATTAAATTTCGTCTCATTGTCCCTACAAAAACAGTATTCTCTAAAATAAGAGGGAAATCAGACTCCAAAGACAACTCCACTACTCCTATGAACTCAACCTTCACTTGAACTCCATTCCTAACACACATGGTTACTTCATTCTCACTTGGCCTTCATTTGCTTGTGAACCCGTATAAGGAATTCGCAATATGAATACTAGCTCCCGAGTCTAACCACCAAGAATTCAAAGGAACATCTACAAAAGAAGACTCAAAACAAACTAAGGCAAAAGCTCCACTTGCACCATCATATCTCATATTGATCAGTTTGTTCATCAGATCTCCAATATCAGCTTTATCAGACTCAACAAATCTCACTTCTATGGCATCTACTATATTTTTAGCATTTTCATTATCCGAAATAGCACCCATAATGGAATCGGATATGGAGCGCTTAATAATTTTCAAACAAAGTCTGTTAGTCATTTCTCACTCTTCATACTCAACTACATATTCATGATCGTTTTTATCTGTGGATTTCGAAAACTGCTTCTCCATTGCAAAATCCAACCCCAAAAGACTAAGTGTTATTTTTACGTCTCGTTTTCATCTCACATAATTATTCTCAATCAAGGTTTCTATAACAGACAATTGACTTGAAAGAGTTGAGGCAT